GGTACCACTTCATACGGGAGAAATACGAAGAGGGACAATTCCAACTACAGTACATTGGAACAGAGGACCAGATTGCGGACATCCTAACCAAGCCTTTGGTTAAGGAACGATTCGAGAAGTTGCGGTCAGCCATAGGAGTGACTACAATTAAAGAGATTATTAATTGAGGGAGGGTGTTGAAATATACAATTAATATGTAGTATATGTAGTCAGCCTTGACACGTGTGTACAATATAGTAACTAGTTATGTACGAGCATAAGACTCACTCTCTTTACGGATGTCACATGACCTCGGTCGTGCATATATATAGGGCCTTTGATGTATGTAATATTCACTTGCACAGGCGTCGTTGTACAGAGCGTATACGATGTGTGTGTACTGTCCCAGTTTAATTGTCCAGTTGTACGTTATTATATATTATACTTATACATAATCATATTGTCGTGTTATTACTTATTATATTAATGCTAACATCATTAGTCCGTCAAGCTTCACTTTCAACACTATCTACCCCACGAAACAATAATAATATAAATACAGTTGATAACAATACCGATAATCATAATTACAATTTTACTAATATAGACAATTTAAATAATATATTAAAAAACATAAACTGGACAGAAGTTTTAAAATCAACTGATGTAAATGTAGCTATTGACTTATTCACAACTATTATTGAAAATAGTATAAAAAAATCACAAGAAACTAAAATAAAAAAGATACCAAAAAATAAAAAACGATTAAAAAACTGGATAACAATAGGAATTATTAATTCTATGAGACATCGGGATAGATTATATGCAAAATTAAAAAATCAACCATTTAATATTAAATTGCAAGAGATTTATAAAAAGTATAGGAATCTACTAAATGTAACCATAAAAATAGCAAAAGACGTATATTTTTATAAACAAATTTCTAATGTTAAAGGTAATACTAAAAAAATATGGGAATTTATAATTGAAGCCTTAGATAATAAATCTAATAAAACTAACTTTATACCAACAATCCTAAATCGTCAAAATCAAATTGTAACAGATAATATTAGTATTGCAAATGAGTTCAATTCTTTTTTCGTGTCTATAGGTACAAATATTTCGAATAAATTGAATTCACATCTAAACATAATAAAATTTACATTTTTAAATGATATTCCAGTAAATGATAAAAGTATATTCCTAAACCCTATTTCAACTGATGAAATTAAAAAATATATATTAAATATTAAACCAGCATGTTCATTCAATAGGTGGGAATTAACAACCACGATTTTAATAGCTATTATTTTTAATATTCTTACACCATTACAATATATTTTTAATCTAGTTCTTACTACTGGTGTTTTTCCACATTCATTCAAAAATACTATCATTATCCCGTTACATAAGAAGTTAAATAAAAGTGATTGTACAAACTATCGACCAATAGCACTTACAATTACACTATCCAAAGTCTTAGAAAAGTGCATCAAAGATAGGAACTTCTTAGAAACTTGTTCGATATTTTCCTGTAACCAATTTGGTTTCAGGAGAAACAAAGATACCGATAAAGCTTTAATGACTGTAATTAGTCCCATTTATAACAAACTAGATATGAATAGAGCAGTAATAGGACTTTTTCTAGATGTTAAAAAAGCTTTCGATTCTGTTGACCATTCAATATTGCTAGCCAAATTAGAAAAATACGGTATAAGGGGCAATGCAAATAAACTTATATGTAATTTTCTAGAAAATCGTATTCAACAAGTAAGAGTAAATGACAGTTTAAGCGATTATCTGATATCAAATCATGGAATACCACAAGGTACTGTATTGGGTCCTCTTCTTTTTATTGTTTATATTAATGACTTATTGAATATTAAGTGTCACGGATCAATTTTCAGTTTAGCTGATGACACCTCAATTATTATAGAAGACATAAATAAAAATCATATTCAGAGTAAATCGACACATGTATTAAGTATCGTCAAAACATGGTTTGATAATAGCCTCCTAGAACTTAATTTAACAAAAACTTGCTTTATGAACTTTAGTATAAATAAATTGGTATCCACTGGAAAAAATTATCTTAAGGCGCACCTCATAAATTGTAACGAATTTAATATAAATACAATGTCTGCTATTAGTAATGACAGTAAGTGTAATTGCACTTCTATTTCTTCAGTACAACAAGTAAAATATCTAGGTATTACTATAGACGCTAACCTTAAATGGCAAAACCATATTATTAATACAACTAGAAAGCTCAGACTGGTTGTTATATAAATTTAAAACTATCAGCAACATACTATCACCAATCACAATGAGAATGGTATTCGTAGCTATGGCTCAGTCAATTTATTCATACGGTATTGGGAGTTGGGGTGGTGCATACGATATATATCTAAATTCACTTGAAACCACTATAAATTCTCTTATTAAAATATCTTTTAAAAAACCCTATAGGATGAGCACTGTATTGTTATATAAAGAATGTAATCTTTTAAATTTAAATCAATTATATTACACGACATTTATTATTGAATATGTTTTTCCTTGATGTTCAAAAATTTAAATTTAAACATAACCACTGTACAAGAGCTAAGCAAACCAATATGTATTTAATTCCTAAGTGTAGAACGGAATTTGGAAAAAGAAACCCCTTGAATGCTGGAATTAAGATGGCTATGGAATTAAATATTGACGTTGGTTTGTGTAGAATCTTTAGATTTTATAAGAAAATGGTAAATGAAAAAATCAAATTGCTAATATAGATAATTTTTCTGTATTCATGTCAAATTGTTATATTTATTATGTATTTCTAAAATATTTAAAAATTTATATTCATGATGCTTATTTTCACATAATTAACTATGATCGACTTATAATGTGTTAATTTAATTATTTAGTAAATGTACGAGATATTTTTAAGAACCTTGTCTCCACAACAAGCCTAGCTTACGGAGACAATCATTTATATATAATGCCAAATTATAATATGTATAAATATTTGTAATTTTACATGTATGTATACATTTCTGTTTTAAATGAAAATAAATAAATAAAATAAATAATATCATGTATAACAATGAAGGTGAATAATTTATGATTTTTTTTTTTAATTTTCTAGAAACATACATTTTACCACCCATTTAAGTATCAATGATTGATTGATGTTGTTAGCTAAATTAACTTAATTGTATAATATTTGTTAAAATTAAAAAAAAAAAAAAACATTAGCATGTACTATTTTCATTTAACATATTTTTAGTTTACTATATTATTGGGATTAAGTTTTTTTCTGGAATGCAGATTGTCAGACTTGATTTTTAATCTTCTTTGCAATTAACTTGAGTAGTTGAGTATTTACTATCTAATTAATTAAAAAAGAATAAATATAACCAAATTATTTAACGGTAAAAAAATATGTTTACATACTTAATTCATTTTGTAGTGACTCTCAACTATTAAAATAGTATATGGGAAACAAAATTTTTATTTGTCATTGTTCTCGTTTGGAAAATGTAATGGAAGATAGAAAATTATGTGATTCCAATATCTATCTCCAAATCATTTGGCCAAGTATATTTGTAGTAAATACAGATCAACTTAGTTCTTAATAATAACTACTATGCCAGAATGTAAAATTTGAATATATGCAACTTATAAGTACTTCTGAACAGTGAACATTATATTTTTAAGTATGTATATGATGTGGATAGGCAACCATCTTGTTGTGTCCAAGTAGATGGTAATAAGTAAATGAGTAATATATGAAGTTGTATTAGGTTTGTGGTATGGTGTATTGGTGTCGGCCAATAATTTTAAGAGTATAACAAATTTTTTTTTATCAAACTTTGAATAACATTTATTGGTGGTGTAACTGAATGAAAAAAACTGATTTAACTGAAAATAAAATTTAAATAAAAACTGTTAAGACGTCATAATAATGAATAATAATCTATGTGCAAATTAATGTATTAATCATAACAATTTTTCTACGTATACATTTTAAGAAAACTTACCAATAAAGTTAATGGAGATACAAATGTTGTGCTTTCCAAGTGGTTGGTATTCATGTATTATCAAATTTACATCACACTTCATAATATAAACTTAACTACATATATTTTTGATTAAAATATCAAATAAAATACATGAATATATCCCAAATTACGACTTAGGTATAATGTAATTTTAAGTTCAATGGAATATTTTGGACAAACTTAATGATTCAACAACTATTTTGTTAGGTATATTATGCTATTAAAGAAATTTAAACTGTCTGTCTACTTATAACGGTTTACAACATAAACTAACTATACATATAATAGTTCAATTATTAATTACATTATAAATTTAATATTTAACTATTTAAGTAATAGTGCTGTGCTGCATGGCCACATGGTTTAGTATTTTACTTTACAAGTTTTAAAGTTTATTATCAATAATCAGTATTCACTATTCAGTTTATTACAATCATAGAACATAATACCTATGACAAATAAACGAAAACCTGATAAGGATACATTAGTCCGGCTTGCGACTTTCGAAGAGTTAAATGAGAAAATGACCATAGTGTTATCTATAAATTATAATTAGTAGTTGGTAGTACTGGGAGCAAGGCATACTCTCCTTGCTACAAGTAGTAGCCAGTCATGTCATGCGAGTGCGTTCGGACGAGCCGACGATAGTCGCTATACCTACCTAAACATTTTGTTAATGTGTATTTAATTTATAGTGATGTGAAATATAAGAAAGTGCCTTAAATAAATCCTGAGTCTTGCGTTTCTTTTCTTTTAGCTTATAACATTTCAGAAATTGGGATTGACCGTAAATCCGCCTAAAGTCGAGTGTGTTCGAACCGCCGAATCACGAGGTTTCTAGCATCTAGTTACGAACATAACCGCTAACCGTCAACCTGATACCACTAGAGAACGTAACGATCGCGTTATCATAAGTTGTTGCTTGATCAAGAAGATAGAGATAATACATTGTGTAGAGAATTGTGATTTGTGATGCGTGTGATCGAAAACAATACAATGGGGAATAGCGATCCAAACAATCCGAACGGGGAGGAGTTCAATGAGAACCAACTTGTGCTTACGCTTCTAGAGCAGAACAGGCTGCGAGAAGAGCAGATGGACAAAATCATTAATAAGTTGATGGATCAGAGAACAGTGACACAACAGTCCTCACCGATGCTACTAATCATTTCGCAAACAGTATTTAATGGAAAAACCGGCGATACTGACGTAGCTAAGGAATGGCTTAACGCGCTTAAAGCCGTTGCATTAATGAACAAATGGTCTGATACATGCATACTGGAAACTGGTCGCTCACATTTGGATGGAGCCGCCAGAAATTGGTATTTGAGTCATATGAATGAGTTAGATAGTTTTGCGAAGTTTACGACTGCGTTTGAAGAAACATTCACTAGTCAAGAAAGTGTAACCGATACCGGGAAGAGGATGAATGGACGAGTACAAAAACGGGACGAAACGGTATTTGCGTATTTCCATGAGAGGCGCTCAGCGCCAGAACAGCCTAACCCACAAAAGTGAAATTGTACAGGACGGGCATTTAAAGTTTAGACTATTTTTCAACAATTTTTTTTTCTTATTAAATCCACTCCAAGAAAAATAACAATGACTCATTAGTATGTATAAATCCTTGCCTTTTTAACCATCTATGTGGTACTGGTCAATTTAAAGTTTGTAAAGTTTTAATGTGGGTTAGGCCACCATACATTTTTAAAATTTTTAATTAAATTCAATTTTCTGTGGTTTAGGCCAACTTATTGGAAATTTGTTATTCTCTTTAATTCAGACAAAATGAAAATACCAAGTAAATAATTGTATAAGTTTATTTGTAACTTTTTTAATATAATATTGTAATAATGTTTAGTACATAATGATTATTAACAATGAGATTGTTACTAAATTTAACAAAACAAAAACAAAAACAAAATTAACTTTTACTAGTATAACAATAGTTCAGTTTAAAACTTTTTACTTTTAATAAATTTGATCAACTTGCAAAACAATATTTGGTATTTATACATATTTTTTAACATTACAATCACATAGGTAGGTAACACAGTCTTTGGTAAAGAATAATATTAATAAAATAAATAACAATATTATGATTGTTACTAATCCTTACAAATTAAAATAAAAATAACTTTTAACACTATAACTTAGTATAGTAAATAGTTCAGATTAAACTTCATCTTCCTCACTTTCATCAAATCAATTGGCATGTCATCAATGATGTTATTGCCGTCTGTTTGTAGACTTTTGTAAAATTGATGATTCATCGGTGGTATATAGGGAAGTAGATCCATTAAGTCTTTTTTTTTTAACACTGTTATTTTGTGGCCTGTTGGATATAATAGATCTAAATCTTTTATGTATTCTTCAAGTTTTGATCCTCTTTTGCATATGCTTGCAAAGTTAAATTGAACTTCTGGAGTGTTTGAATATTTATAATTTATCTGAAATGGTTGTTCTTTTTTAAAATTTAGCCACTGAATCTTGAGCCATTCAACTTTTTCACCATACTCATTTTTTTTTCTATTGACAATTTGTTTTTCCAGTGATTTGGTAGAAAACAAATTGTCTCTAGTCATATTTACAATACGAAAGGGTTTTTTTTTTTCTGGCATTTTGTATAACACTATGCCAATCATTTGGAACAAATATGCTACTGTGATTTTTTTTTTGTTTTTCAATCAAACCAAAATCTTGATCGCACGGTAAGAAAGAATGGCCACTCACTAAAAATTTGTGATCAATTTCATTTACACAGAATTTGTCATTTGCTACAATAAAATTACAAAGAGTAGCCATTTTGATGTTTCGGTTTTGTCCTCCGCACTGATCTGAATACATAATTAATTTACTTGCAGTGACAAAGTTTTCAATGTAATGTAAAATACATGACCCTATTTCTTGAGGTCCCCTAGAACCAACTGATTCATCCCAGACATACATTTTTGCAGTATTATTACTAATGTTATGCATCCCAAGACAGTATGTCCATAATTGGCGCTTATAGTAGCATACACCAGTTGACAATACTGGAGTAGGCAACGTTTTCATGAAATCAAAAGCGATACATGAAACATTATTATTTTCTTTTGCTAAAAGCCCATCTATACGCATACCTTCACGGGCATTTTCTGCTTCTCTCTGATGTAAGTCCCTTTCAGCGTCAATTTTTTTTTCTTCATAATTTTCTGCATATTTCATTTTTATATTGAAATTATCACATTACTTACAACTATCAGATACAGGGGGATGAAAATGCAAGTTAAATTTTTTATTGAAAGTATCATGAAACTTAAACAAGGATACTGGGTCTTCAGTCTCTTCTTTATACAATTTGTACATGCAATTAATATTAAGATCTGGAGCCAAATACTTTCTGTGTACACTTTTTTCTCTAGAATAATGAGATTCGTATGAAGGGAATCTGTTTATAAAATCTACTACTCCCTGTATTTTTAAGTTACTAGTTTTATTATGTGGATCATGTTTACCTCGTTTATCAACAGGGGGAGTAGTAGAAATATTTTTATGTGCCAAAATTCTTGCAATTCTCCCGTCAGAAATACTTAATATGTTTTTAAAAAAAGATTTACATTCTCTTTCTTCTTTCCCATTACCTATGGGTAAATAATAAATCATTGTAAATTTTTTTTGACTATGAACATTTTTTGTATAAACTCTTTTTTTGTTTATTTTTTTGACCAATCCACTTATAAATGCACTTTGTAAGTCATGATTTCCTAAATCATAATATTGTGTATGCAATTGTTTTGTTTTGCCTCATCAATCAAGTTATGGCATTTTCGTAAACAACTACATTCATAAGGTGTGAAGGTCTTAGAAGGCACACATTTACCTGTAGTTCCAATATAAGCTTCTCCTCTAGCCCTTTTACTTTTTCTCACATTTTTTTCCCAATTATTTTTATTTAAAAGTTTCTTACGTGTTTTTAAATTAGTCAACTCTGTATTTTCATCTGAAGCAGTGTCTTGAGTAATTTCATTGTTATCAACTTCTTGAGTAATTTCATTGTTGTCAACTTCTTGAGTAATTTCACTGTCACTACTAGATGATCTGTTAGATCCATATGGCAAATACTCTGAGCCAGAATCTTGAAAACTATCATCATCAGTATCTAAGGCATCAATATCGGACATCAGTATTAATAAAATATACCTAATAGTAAATGTATATAATATTATTAAAATGTATAAAGTGACTTACCATTTTGTAAATATTCGTTTATTTGTTCAGTGTTCATTATAAGAATTAATAAAATAACATTTAACAAAATTAATAACAACTGACAGGAACTATTTTGTGATGGATATGAATATATTATAATATTGAACTAAATTTCGTATTTTGATAAAAAATGATAATGTTGCATTAATTTTTCCGGGAAGTATTATCAATATTAATATTATATTCATGGAGAAAAATTGGTCTAATCCAATAGCATGGGGTTGGGACACTCTGGTTCTGAAATTATCAGTTATTTTCTTAGAGGAAAAAATGGCATAATCAACTAGCATATTGATGGGCCACTATGGTTCTGAAATTATGTTTCATAATATCAGTGCCAAAAGAAATAATGTGCTGCCATCTAGCGAATAAATTTTTTTGTGGAATAGGCCATAGTGGATTTCAAACATCTTATCAATCTGAAACGTTTTATCACATAAAACAGAATTTGAAATTTTGTGGGTTAGGCTGTTCTGGCGCTGAGCGCCTCATGACAAGGTCAGAATGTGTAGGTGATTAGGATTATCAGCCATAGAAATAAAGAAAATGATTTGTTTTCGATTATATTCACGCGAATTATCATCCGCATTACTTAGCAACGGACACACACTTGAGACCGAATTATTGGCTGATATCCGAATGTTCAACGACGTGGATCTTAACCGAAGTGAGAGGTTTCACAGCACGTCACAACCAAAAAAAAGTCCAAAACCTATGACTGAGAAGGAACAAGCGCCGATGAAGTCCAGGGGAGTCAGTAAATCCGTAGACACCGTACCCCCACGTGAACGTCCGCTCTGCTATAACTGTCAAATGTTTGGACACGTGGCCCGAGACTGCACTCAACCACGTAAACCATTTAAGTGCGGTAAATGTAAGCAAGAAGGGCACAGTAGTAAGTACTGTCAAAGCGAATCAACTGATGTTAATTTGGTCAGTACTCGACCAAAGAAAAGTGCAGTACTTTATATTAAGGAAGTATGAATAAATTATCATAAAGACCTGATACACGGATTGGTGGATACAGGTAGTGCGGTTTCAATAATAAAAAAATCGGTTGCTGAACGATTTGGCCTGACAATCAACACCAAGAAAATAAACATGTGGGTGTATGGCAAAGCTCAACTGGTAATTAGTAAAGGCGAAACTGAAGCGAACATATGTGTTGACGAAGTGAAGGAACATGTCAAGTTGATCGTAGTTTATGATGAATTACAACAATACGACATAATCATCGGACGATCCTTTACCGAATTGGATAACGTTACCTTTATTAAGGCGAGCGATCAGCTGATCTTCGGCTATGGTATGGTATCAAGAAACTGATGTTCCAGGACAGATAACAAATCGACATGCGGTGAGAATAAAATGTTAAACAGAGATAATGCCAGCGGAGAGTGCCAAAGTAGTAGAAGTACTTGCTGACAACGAAACAATCGAAGTAATGATTATAAATGATGGTGAAAGCGAGCCGAGGTTACACCGCGGCGATCATGTTGGGGTATGACGTGAACAACATCCGTCAAGACAATCAATTATTGCACCGCGAACACCAATAACTGCAAAAATGGTGCAGCATGGTCCAGATTTTAATCAGGAGGAAGTGAATAAACTGGTTAAATTATTAAATGATTATCGATGTTGTTTTGCGTTTAATTTAGGTGAACTGGGCTGTACTACAGAGATCCAGATGGACATAGTCGACAACGGACAACCGGTGGTGTGCAAACTGTATCGTGCCAGTGCTTCGGAACGCGAAACCATAAGTCGCATAGTACGTGAGTGGAAGGACGAGGGCATAGTAACCGAAACTAAATCGTCATATGCGTCACCTGTGCTATTGGTCAGTAAAAAGAACGGTGACGCTACACTTGTTGTGGACTACCGGAAGTTAAATTCACAAACTGTGCGTAAGGTATTCCCAACTCCTAATTTGGACGAACATCTTGAGAAGCTGCATGGTGCTAAAATATTTACGATTTTGGACCTTGCGTCAGGATATCTCCAAGTACCACTTACTGAAGCTTCAAAAGAAAAGACAGCGTTCACCACACCCAGTGAATCTGGGAAATTCGAGAGAATGGTGTTTGGCCTGATCAACGAACCATATGAGTTTTCGAAGTTGATGTAACGTGTCCTGCATCCTTTGAAGGACAAGGTTGCAATGTGGTATCTTGATGACATTCTTATACCATCTACATCGTTTAAGGATATGTTAAGTCGATTGCGACAAGTGTTGGATGCATTGAAAGAGGCAAAATTAACACTCAAGTTAAGTAAGTGTTACTTTGGCTATCCAGAGGTAGCATATCTAGGGTTCATGCTGTCAGTTGGAGGCGTGCGGCCAGGAGAACAAAAGATTGTGGCAGTTAAGGAGTTCCCAAAGCCGAATAACAAACATGAAGTACGTCGGTTTCTCGGTTTGTGTGGGTTCTTCCGAAGATTTATACCACATTATGCGATGCTAGCACAACCTATGAGTGATTTACTAAAGGATAGTGTGTCATGTGTGTGGACAACGTCACAAGAAGCAGCGTTCAATGAGCTGAAGAACAAGTTGATCTTGCTGCCTGTACTTCAATTGTTTAACCCAAGTGCAGAAACGGAACTACGATGCGATGCAAGTAGTATGGGTCTAAGCGGGATGTTACTACAACGAGGCAGAGATTAGAAGTTACATTTGGTACATGCGGTATCTAAAAAGACGACTTCAGCAGAACGGAACTACCACTTGAGTAAGCAAGAATTGATGGCTCTAGTATGGAGTATGAGTAGCCTACGACCATATCTGATCTGGATTAAGTTCTTGGTGATTACGGATTATCAAGCAATAGTTCACCTCAACACCCAGAAAACCCTGAATCCACAGATAGCACGATGGGCAACATTGTTGAGTGAATATAACTTTGACATCAAGCATCGCCCAGGTGCGAAAATGGATCATATTGATGCTCTTAGTCGGGCCCCAGCTAGTATGCCTCAAGATACAGAAACAGAACTATTGGATGAACATTTAGAGGTGTTTATCACAATGACAGAAGAAGAGCAGGTGATATCAATGCAACGGACCGACACCAGACTTAAGGGAATAATGGAGACTGTTAGTCGAGAACCGTCGGGACGTTCTGCAGTTGCTAATGAAATTGTTAAAAACTATCAAATAGAAAAGGGCATATTATATAGAACAGTTATTGTCGAAGGTGAAGCTAGACAGTTGTGGGTAGAACCCAATGCTATGAGAAAAGGTATAGTCATAAGATTTCATGATCTAGCAGGTCACTTTCCGGTAGACCGAACTGTGAACAAAATCAAAGTTACTACTTTCCACGGATGCGTCGGTATGTGCAGGTGCATATCAGGTGTTGTCCTGAGTGTGTGTTAACCAAGATACCTCGGGGAAGACAACCAGGTGAGCTCCACCCCATAAAACCGGGTAAGCGTCCGTTTGAGATAATTAATATAGACCACGTGGGGCCCTTTGTCAAATCAACAAATGGAAACAGTTATATCTTAGTGTTAATTGATAATCTAACAAAGTATGTGCAGTTATTTCTAGTCAAAAGTTGCGGGACAGAGGGAGTGATACATAACCTCCAACAATTTATAGTGACGTTTGGTATACCGAAGCAAATAATTAGTGACAGAGGGACAGCATTTACATCTAAAGCGTTTGACGCTTTCTGTACACAGTATGGTGTGAGACACATACTAAATTCGTTAAGACATCCGCAATCAAATGGTCAGGTGGAACGTGTAAACAGTAGACTAGTTCCAGTTATGCAATCAACGATGGAGAACAATAGAACCAGGGATAAAACAATCAAGGATATAGAGTGTCACTTAAACAACGCGCATAACAAAACAATAGGTGATACCCCATTCCATGTACTTTACGGATATTATCCTAGTTTTAAAGATGGAACGTTGGGCCACCCTACAACAGCTGAGTCATGGGACTCAAGTACACAGCTTCAAGCCAAAATAAGAGAGCGCATAGACAGAGAACATGACATGTGGAAACAAAGATATGATTCCAAACATGTCAAACCAGTGCAATATCAAGTTGGAGATGTGGTATTCATCCGCAGACCTACTGAAGTTACAGGAGAATCAACAAGTGAAGTATCGAGGACCATTGGTGGTCACCAAGGTACTACCAAATTATGTATATAGAGTTTCCGAACTACATACTGAGGATAAGAGATGCTACGCGACCACTTTTCATGTAACACATATCAAGGGTTACAATATTCCAGAGGATGAAGAGGAACCAGATGAGACATAGTCAATACCAACGGAGGAGAAAGAAGACCACCAGGGTGGCATACATCATACCAGATGTAAATACAATCACTATGAACAGAAAAGACTGTATTACTGTTTTAATTGTTACTACTCACTAGGTTATATACATATATAAATATTGTTATGTTAAAAGTTGAATGGAATTTTTTTTAATTGATGTAAATGTTAATATTAAGTGGGGACCCTTAATTGTCAGGATACCCGAATGTTATCTATGAATTATAATTAGTAGTTGGTAGTACTGGGTGCTACAAGTAGTAGCCAATCATGTCTTGCGAGTGCGTTCGGACGAGCCGACGATAGTCGCTATAACTACCTCGGTGTTTCCGAATTGCGGTCAAAGTGACAAAAACCATGTGAGTTGCGGACGAAATCTAAAAAGGTAACATACGAATTGCGGACACAAATATAAGATACTAATTGCGGATAATGTTACAATATTCACGTGGTGAAATCAGTAGAATATCATATATACAGACTGTTTTAAAAACTATGGCAATAATTAATAATGACGATAATCTATAAATATTTTATAAACAATTTTTTCCACAAAATTAAAACAATCTATAATTCAACAACATTTTAAAAATAACGATTGCTCTTTTGCAAGACACAAATATTTTTAACCCCACCTACCAATTTTTTTTTAGCTATTGTCATAAGTCCTGAAAAAGTGGTGAAGGGAAATATTTGTGTCCACAACTAACGTAGTTTTTATTAAAAAAAGCTCTGTACGCAATTAGTATTATGAAAACGAAACTCGTGTCCGCAATTTTTATATTATAATTCCTAACCTGAATAATTCGTCCGCAACTAGTATGTGTCCACCTACCTAAACATTTTGTTAATGTGTATTTAATTTATAGTGATGTGAAATATAAGAAAGTGCCTTAAATAAATCCTGAGTCTTGCGTTTCTTTTTTTTAGCTTATAACAATAGTAAATATAAAATAATATGTTTAACAAATCAATATGTTAGTAGGTATATCGTGGTTTATTATAATAGATAATACTATTAGGTATACGTATTATACAATACATATATAATATATATTAGGTATTTTAATATACAAAAAATGGTGAGTACCTACAAAGTTTAGCTTGTTATCACATAATTATAATATATTTTTAGCAAAAACAATATAAATTTACAATAATATATGCAAAAAAAAAAATGTAGAACACAAGTTTGCAACTTAACTTTAAACATAATCTTGCTGAAAACGGCGACAGCGGACTTCGAAATGGCCCCGTGACTCGCAAGTAACTGAGCGGCAACACAAAACGGAAACAATATACTTAATTACTCGAACGTAACGGTTCGATGAACTCGAATAAAGTTATAGAGTTAGACGAATATAGCAAAAACAACGAACGGGTTGATCGGCGACTGACTTCCGGTAACACAGCCGCGACCTCTGTGGTAACTTAGCTTACTGCATGTCCACAAGGCTACTGCAGAAACAAAGTCTGAGCGCCGCGTTTACCAAACCCTTCCAGATGAACCGTCTCGATCTTGTAAACGCGGACTTGCGGCATTCAGACCTGGCCGGTTTCTGCGGCATTTCCGATGGTTCAGGCTGGATGGTATTCACTCAGTCGTACAACACGGGTGACTGCAGACTTCTCAGCTCTGGGCGCGAGTACACGGGCGAGTCAATATTGAGCTCGGGTGCCGACCGGAAACTATCACCATAATGTCTGCGCCTCAACGGGAAACAAACGGCCTTGATCCTACTATCGACTGCCAGATCGAGTGTGTCAACTACACATCGATGAACCACGCTGGCACATTCGCACGACCGCTGCACGCATGTAGAAATTCCCAAGTCCATCTCTGTAATAATATATTATTATCTTTGTTACATTTCGTATTAATTTTGTATTACTTAACGCCTGTATTGTTATTTTTTTTTTTAATTATGTATCTAACATAATTTTGTTGTTGAAATTTAAATGTAAAATATATTATATTAATCAACAAATTGTGTATTTTTTTATTAAAAAACTAAAAACATTTTACAAAAAACTTCTACAATACTGTAGACTATAATAGTATTAAAGTCTATACACATTATTACACAGTAATTTGTTATAAATTATAAATTATAATACAGGTTTATCATAAATTCAGAAATGTATTATAGTTATGGATGGGCCGATATCACTTTTAACCGATAACCGATAATCCGATATGTTATGCAAATGTAAAACCGATAACCGATTTACTCAAAACTTTGAATTTTTACCCAAACGCATGAACCGATATTATAAAATACCCGATAATACTTACCGATAGATACGTGTTTACAGTTATAACCGTGCGCAGAATTGATAATATTAGACGATGTTGGCAATATCGGTTTTATTTGAACTAATATATAAAAAAAAAAAACAATTTATCATAATATGTATCGTACTGTTTTTTTTTTTTTTTATATCGGTTCAAATAAAACCGATATTGCCAACATCGGCCGATAATCGATATCGGTTTGCAAATCGGGCCAGTCCTAATTATAGTGTTATCATTCCCTGTCAATTTCTCACAATAGTTCGGAAGATAGCCACCACAGCGCTGTAATCGCGGAACGAATGTTGCTTATCTATTATTTTCTTTCTCTATGGAGATAAGCTAGACTGGTCGTTATAGTGTTTGTACATTGTACTTGCTACTAATGCGGGCCGCGTCAACCGACCACCGAGCATATGCGTTACGCCGAACGTACTTCCTACCGTCTCTGCCATAGATAAGTAAACTAATAGATGGAAAACTGCCACGGAGAAATTATTGTCATTGCATACTGCGCTCCAGGTGCCTGATGTATGTACTAGTGTTCAAACAAGGGTTCTTATAGTCTTCATGTTCATTTCAGGGCATCTAATTTGTTTCCATGTATTATTAATTACTAACATAATTATATTTTTATAGTAATTTGTTTTTTTTTTTTTTGAGCTTAGATATTTAAAAATAAACACGAACACATTAAAAAAATAATATAATAATGTAAAATGTTATTGTAAAATATGTAATACATTTTTTTAAATACAAATATATAATGAATACATGATAAAATATAGTATTATAATTAAGAACTTTTTTATCTATTTACTGCTGCTAAGTAATAATTCATTCCCACACAGCAGTAGTTTGTTATTTAATAATGAAAGATACATTTTGCATTTAACGATTCCATGAAAGTTTTTATGCACAAGAGGATGTCACAATCTCAGTTGTCCCAGTCTTAAGAAGATGCTATCCATGCATTTGTTGTCTCAGTCTTATACACTCACGACATTGAAAATTTGTGTTCACTAGTTTCAATAGCGTGCTGTAAGTTTTGATATTAAAGTGAATGTTATTACCTAGAAGTTTGATAATAGGTAAATTCACTACAATAGTACAATAGCAAAACTAACCTTGGAAACTAGTGAAAGAAAATTTGCAATGTCGTGAGTGTATAAGACGGAGGCAACGGAAAAGTTAAATTCTAATTTATCAATTCTTACTGATTTGGTAATTTTTTTCTTTTTATGATAACCTTTTTCAAAATGTCAAATATTATATTCTTTTAGCCTTAAGTTTAGATAACCAATTGTCAGGAAAACTTTATAAATAAAAAAAAAAAACGGAAAAGTTAGGATAAATTCTGAACACCAAACACCGAATATTAAACAACGAATTGAACAAAATTTTAGTCGTATAGAGTTCGTACATTTGACGGGCAACGAAGTGCACGGGATCAGCTAGTATATAATAAAAAATATAAATTGGTTAGTATTAAATATATATATGGTTGCCATGGTAATATGGACACACACACACACACACACACATTCATTTTTATATATAAAGATAATAGAAATAATATCATAATAGAAACATATAATAATATTGTAGATACTTAGCAAATATTTGTATTAAAAACACTAACTGGGGGTGTAGGTAATTGATTATGATAATACTCCTCATCATTTGAATCACTTGAACTAGCTGATACATGTAATATAGTGTTTCTTGGAGTATATGTTTTGTCATTATCACTATCATCTAGTTCAGAACCACCCGAGAAACTTTCACCATCACTAGGAATATCAAGCAGGAAACCTTCAATGTCATCATCATTTATAATATTCATCTACAAAATATGTTTACAAATTTATACTAATATATTAATATATTATACTACCTACCTACTAGTTACTATTACAATCAAAATTGTACGGTGGTCTCTATAGAAACCACATTTACATCAAACCAATAATGAACCTAATTAATGTTATTTACTTACCGTTATCGTGTAAATAGTTTTAATTAATACTATTTGTTGAGTATTTTAGAAAAAATTAAAATTTGATTTTTTAATTTTGATTTTTAATCAATATCTCTTTACCATAACATTTAGTACGTATATCAAAATATTGATAATGATAATAAATGATGAAAAACGCTGGAAATTATATCAGACCAGCGGCAGTGATATTGTTTGATGCATGTATAAGATGATAATAAGGTTATTGGTATGCTGACCACCATCAAAAAAATATTAAAAATAATTTTAAAAGTGGTTAAAATAGTAACCACAGCACCTGAACGGTAAAAAAAAAATGGTTAGCATACTAACCACGGCCCCTCAAAGAGTTAAACTGTACCGTATACATGTGTGTGAGTGCGTGCGTTACTTACAATGTAGATACAATTTATCTGTGATAGGTACAATATGATAGTATATTCTATTAATAACTTAAGTGGGTATTATATGTGAAAAGATATGGGGACATGTATACATCTTGTTGGTTGTTAGATTCGATAAGATAAAGCAATTACGTCGATAATTTTTTTTCTTACTCTCATTATATTTTCACATTTTACTTTTATTCAGTACGATTTCAGTGACCAATAGCGAAACAACCGCTCATCAAATTAAAAAAAAAATTAAATAAGTTCATTTAATAAAATACGATTTTTGACTATGGAAAAAATGTGTAGCTCTAAATTGGTCGCGAATAACGGTTTTAAAATAATTGATGGTTACAAGTTTGGATATCATAAAATGTTACGTAATAACAATTTTCGATGGAAGTGCACGAACAAAAGCTGTAAAAGCTATATGAAACTACATGTTCATCAAAATGTAATGAGTAATCCTACTTCACATACTCCATATCACACTCCAGACGACATCACTCACCTCAATCGACAAATATTAAGTAATTCTGCAAAACGAAAAAGCCTATCGGATCTTAGCACAAGACCATCGAAAATTATTTGTGCAGAACTTAGTGCTAATGACGCTATTAAATGTACAGTTAGTGATATAAATTTAGTACGGAAAAACATTTATAATGCTCGTAGATCAATCCTACCAAAAATTCCAATGAATAAAGAAGATGTACACAACGTATTACAAGAGCACCCTGTACTTACAGCTGAAAATGAAAATTTTCTCTTAGTCAATGACCGGCAAAATAATATCATATTATTTTCTTGTGATAAAAATATAAGCTTGTTAATAACATTGAAAACAATTTACGTCGATGGCACGTTTCAATACTGTGCAAAACATTTTTTACAAATGTTTACAATTCATGGACTCATTAATGATTATTATATACCATTAGCATTTTTTTTACTTCCCGATAAAGAAACTCAAACGTATATTAAAGCATTTACGCACCTAAAGGAAGAGTGTTCAAAGCGAGGGTTTATATTTTCACCAGACATTGTATTTGCTGACTTTGAAATTTCAATACATACTGCAATTCAAAAAACTTGGACAGAATCTAAAATTAAAGGATGCCGCTTTCACTTGGCCCAATCCTGGTAAGACTTAACTAGTATATGAAATTAGTAATAATAAATAAAATTCTACTTTAATAATTAATTAATCCGTAATTTTTATAGGTGGCGAAAAATTCAAACTATTGGTTTAACTAATGATTTTAGAACTTCTACGGAAATCGGCAAATTTTTAAAGAGCTTTTTTGGACTACCTTTTTTACCACCTGAAATGGTTTGAGCTTATGGCCATTGCTCCAACTGGTTGTGAAGAATTTACCGACTATATATTAGATAACTATATTTCTGAAAATTCTAAATTTCCTCCTCATGTTTGGTCTGAATGTTCAAATAGTATACAAGGAACAACAAATGCATGTGAAGCTTTTCACTCGAAATTTAATTCATATTTTTACTCTAGTCATCCACATATTTTCCAATTCATTGACGTCTTAAAATCATTCCAGATTAATACATATGTCTTAATTAATAGCATTAATATTAAAAAGAAAGATTATAGAAAAAAAAAAACATTTAAAATTAGAATACTTAAATAAACAAATCGAAAGTTTTAAAAAAAACGAAATTTCCCCATTAAATTTTATAACTAACGTTTCATTTAAATTTCAACCAATATAACGTATATCATGACATGGCATATACTATACCTACTATATTTTAATTATGACTATTTCAATTATTATTTTGATTATCTTGACAAAATGTAAAACATGAATTTTTATATTATGACTATTGCAATTATTATTTTGAAATGTAAAGCATGAATTTTTATATAATTATTATTATTATTATTTTGAAATGTAAAACATGAATTTTTATATTATTATTATTATTATTATTATTGAAATTGAATTGAACTGATAATTTATTATAACATGAATTTTTTTATTATTATTATTAT